TGAGTGGACATCTACTGATTAACACAGCCAGGGGAACTTCTCTTCCTCCTTCCTACGCTTCTTCATGGGTGGGCAAGCCTTTGTGAGACACCCTTGGCAAGCAAGGGATGAAACAGCCCCCATAGATCAGCCCGGAGTTTAGCACGGCTCGGCTTTGGCCTCTGAACTGACTCCTCCTGCAGCAGAGTTAACCAGGTCAGTCTCTTTCCTCCCTTCAAACACTTTATCTGTCTGTGTAACAACACATTTTCATTTATTTTTCCCCCCACCACCTGACAGCCGTTTTTCTTTAGCAAGAAGGTAAACACCCTGTTTTGTTTTCCCATCTGTATTTAAACTGTGAATGGAGTGAAGCAACAGGCTGGGAAGCAGAAAGAGGAAAGCAGCTCTGAGTGGAAGTGATACAAGCACTGATTGCAACCAGGCTTTTCAGATGTATTAAAAAATAACTCCCTCCCCCAAGGAGATACTTTAGAAGCTGAAAGCTAAGAACTTAAGTACAAAGGCTTTTGTTTTTATTGACATTGTAAGAAACATTTTTTTTTTCTTTGTTACAAAAAAGCTAAGTGGTTCTGAAAGCAGAAGTACAGTTCATATGTACACAGTGCTACAGACCCTTCAGATCAACCTAAGGCTTGAGAAACATCAGATCATAACTGCAGGTTTATCAAATGAAGACCACTAAGGTCTGTTACAGCTGAACACTATTCCTACCGTACATAAATGTATTTACACATTCTCTTTTTTCTTTTTTAAAAAAAAGGATTACAAGCTTTATAAAAAAAAAATTAAAAAATTAAAAAAAAAAAGCAACACTTTTTTATCTTACACATCTGCAGGACTGACAACAGTAACTGTTCCATAGGAGACATTCCACCAATCCAAGGACAATAATACATGAATACCAGAGGTTTACAAGACGTTTCAGACACTATTAACAGTGGTATGTGCTATTAACTCAATGGCGAGTACAGCCTCATCAGGAAAATTTGGCAACACATCCTGGTCCCTCTCTTTTACAGGGTCAACGCAAAATAAGGCACATACATTGTGGGAATATAAACACTGCTGTCCAGGTGGACAAGCCACAGCAGGATAGGCATGGGTGAGCTGACCAGCCATCTCACTGAGGGGAAGCAGTGATGGGAAGTCAACAGGCAGCCAGCATCTTAATGCACGCACCATTTGGGGCCATTCTCCAAGGAGAGAACAACATCATCTGTCATGTGGATGTGAGGGACCATTGTACTCCCCAGCAAAGCCCATGTGGAAGCCCACTGACTTTCATGCAAACACACCTTATCTTTACCTAGGTGTAACTGACAGATAAACCCTTCACTGGCAACTTCCACTTCGTGGAAAGTGAAACTGTCTGGAGAAACACACATGCTTCAGGCAGGCTGAATGTTACTGATGTGCTCAAGGCCAACAGTAATGGATATGGAAGACCCTCACAGAGCCATTACAAGAAATGGCAATTTAGACTTACGCTGCAATGCTTTAAAAATAGAACATTCACAACATTTTCTGCATTTTCTTATACTCTTGGGTGATCAGTGTGTTTCCAACAGCTATGCAAAAATCAACTGATGTGCCACATACACAAAAGCAAGCTTTGACTCTGTAACTGGAAGAGTAGAGGGGTGCTAGTAAACTCATCCCACCAGTGTTGATGGGACCTTCCCCAGACTGCCACATGTTGAGAAGTGAAAGCTGGTGTCCAGTGTAATAGTGCCATGCTCAGAGAGACCAGTCCACCTTATCAAAACAGAACCAAAACCCAGACAGCTGGGCTACAATGTATTGCTACCCTCACAGGTACCAAAACCAGGCTCTTGAGTATAAAACAGAAAAGTGTGAGAAAACATTAAAGCTGGAAAGTGACACATGAACGTAAGTGGCACATACATTTAATGGTGAAAATGATAAATCATTTGCACAGACTCTCCAAGGACACAGTGGAGTCTCTGATTCTTCAACTTTGCCAAATCAAATGGGATGCCTTTCTTGAGCATGTGGTTTCTGCCAAGACACACTGTTGGCCCAAAACAAGGCTAAGTGAGTGACGAAGGTTTGTCAAATCCAGGAAGGCAAACTGGCTACTCAAACAGTCTCTTTTAGCCTGGAGCAATATGAATGGCTCCTTCTAAGCTCTGATGGATCACATCTGTTAATAGCTTCCCAGCATCAATTGTACCAGCAGATACAATTATGAACTGGAAAACTGAGTTTAAAAAATAGTTTGGGATGTCTGGGGGTTTTTTAATGTATTGGCTCCATAACAATAAAAGACTTTTCTCCCAAGCCACCTACTCCCAGGCTGGTCGTAAGTCTCCCTGTTGAAATTGTTTATAAACATGTAATTGATGGCTTTAATAAATAGCCAGGATTGGTTACTGAGAACTATCTGAAACTTGTCCAGCACAGCCTTTCCTCATGCCTATACTGCTGCTTCTCTGCAGGGCCATGAGCTGTATCCCCACGCTGCAATGCACAGCACAGCCCTTGGAACATCCCTGTCCCTGGGAACCTGCCCAGTGGGATGCATCCCTTCTTGTCCCAGCAGCAGGGCAGGGACAATGGTTGTGTACAGGCAGTAGGTCTCAACAGGGCCTTTGGGCAATGAGAGGGCAATAGGGAGCAGCTTCCTTCTGCTGCCACGGCCACTTGCCATGGTGAGCTGTGCCCAACTGCCCGTGCAGCCCAAGGACCACTGCAGGTGGGTTGTGGTAGCTGGTCAGGGGCAGGGAGGCTGGAAGGGAAGCTAGCAAAGAGAAAAGTGTAGGATGAGTGAATATGTGTGCATGGGACAGGGTAAGAAAGAAATACTCGCTAAAGATACAAAGAAAGACAGGAGCTAGATCATGATAAAACAGGTAGGTTATCTACATTTGTCTTGATTTCTGACATTCCAGCTGAGTGCAAATCTCTTGGTATGTGTGGTGATAAGCTCAAATATGGCCCCTGCACCAGATTCCTGTGATGTTTTCCTACTGATTTATAGATTCATCCTCAGACTTTAACAGCTGTTAACAGACCAGTGTTATCTGACAGATTCACGGATATTTCATTCCTACACATTTCCTCAAATGCCATGTCCTCAATCAGCTGGTATTTCACCTTTTCTTTTACAACTGAAAAAAATGCAATGGTTTTCTAGCCTACAGAAGTCATCTTCTGATTTTGACTGGGCTAAAGTTTATCTGTATTTCAAAACTGACTACACTCTCTCTTCTCACTGTATGTCTACTATAACATCAGCTCCTTACAGACATCAAATACATGACTGTAAATGCCTGCACAATTTACATCCTGTAGTAGGACTTCATTCACTTTTGGGACTTAACTGAGAAGTCTGCAAGGGCTGGAACTCCATGCAGCTTCTAGGAGTGGGTGAACTTAAACTGTGGTCTTGTGCTTGTTCCCCACAGCAGCCTGTTCACCCAGGAGCACTGTGTGTTCAGGGGTGCAGACACAGAGCCCAGCAGAGCCAAAACCAAGCCTGTGTTCACAGAGCAAATGCCACTCACCTCCACCAGCTTCATGATCACAGTGCCTTGGTTTCAGTTTTTTGCCGGTATAACGGACCCTGGGCATTGAACCACTGGTTTGCTTTGAAATTAAATGCACATGGTGTCACCAAGAGAGAGAGAAAGAAGCTGGGTTGGTCTTTCTGAGCTTTGATTAGTTGCCAGACAACTCAGCTGGTTAGAGCATGGTGCTAATAGCATCAAAGTTGTGGGTTTGATCCTCACACAGGCCATTCACTGAAGAGTTGGACCTGATAATAATTCCAGATCTGAATAGTCTGTGATCTCTGAATACTTGCTGTTCCCCTTGTTTCTTGGCTTCTTTTAATGGCAGTTTAAATTTCTTAATTTTGTAAAGCCTGGACACAGTGGAAAAAACATTTAAGATTATCAGATTGCTTGCAACTGCTTTGATTTATTTGGCTAGTCTGAGAGCTGGGCCAGCCATTCATTTTCTGCTTCTTTTACATGACATGCCCATGATGTTTTTGAAGCTGTATGTATCCATGGAGCTGTCTGGGATAAAGGGGACGTACACAAAGTTTTACCAGCAAATAAGAACAAGTGGCTCAGCAAGTTACACCTAAATAATTTGCATTAAAAAAAAAAAAAATCCCCAGTACAAAATACTGCTATTTTGTTATTTCACTGCATGAAATACTGCAAAGACCCTGATCATATCTCCACAAATGTGGTATGCAATGAGAAGAATATAGACTAGCCGAGTCACTACACACCCCCATAATTTTGCTATCCAGTCATTTAAAAACGAAGGCTGAAAACCAGAATACCAAATACTGCAAAAGATGAGAGTTGGACTACAAACAGTTTTCTGGTCCTCTCCTTCCTCTGAAACAGGTTGAACATGACACAATCTCAGTATCGTTATTCAAGGCAGTGACAGCTATCTCTGTGTGCATTTACAACAACCTTAAGCTTTCACTAGAGATCAAACGGCTGATGGTTTTTACATTTCTTATTTGCTTGAACCTCCCAACATTTTGTGCTCCTTGCCCCTGAAACTGCAGCCCAGGGGTACCATGGCAGTGCATTTCTAAACTGGTTTTCCACCTCAGTGTGATGTGTCCAGTGCATCCAGAGATGATTTCATTGCTGTATGCTCACTTCACATTGTGCCTGGTTATAGGTTCAAGGGGAAAAGTTGCAACAGTTCTACAAGGTCTAGCTTCATTTGAGTAACAGAAAATTATCAAGTCATTTCATCAGGCCTTTCTTTACCAAAAAAACTCCAAAACAAAACAAAAAAACAAAACAAAAGCAACATGCACTTCACACGTTTACATTGGTTTACAATTAAAAAACAAAAGAAAAAAAAAAAACAAGCATACAGACATTCAAAAAGAGTGAGAGAGGGAGAGAGAGAGAGGAAAGAGAGAAAGGGATGGAATGGGCGTAGCAATACTGATTCAAAACTGAAATGGAAGACAGTTTCTCCCTAGAACACTTTAGGGTTTTCAGAGTCCTTATTCCATAAAAGGAATATACTTGAAACACATCCCATTTAGGTGAGATGAGATTGCTAAAATACATACACAACTAAAAAATATGAGTCTTTTTTTTCCATCTGTTATCTCCTAAGTGTTTTTGTTTTTTATGTCTATTGCATAACAGCAAGAAACTTGCTTTCTTCTGCAAGTGAGGTCAACAAAGAGCTCATGTCCCCAATAGCCATGTTGGTTGTGCTTACAGGCATAGCTGGGAATGTAAGAGATGCTCGGGGAGTGGTGAGGCGTGAGGAATTGCGGGAGACATTTTGAATGATACTTGGGCTCAGGGCTCCCGAAATTAAGCTGACATGGTCCCCATCATCTATGATAGCATCAAAATCTATCTGCACACCCTCTAGACTGTTGTTGTCAATGCTGTCAACTGTGCTTGACACTTGGTTAGCCCCCGGGGAAAGAAGCTCAGATGAGTTTTCAGTTGCAGTCCCCTGCAGCAGGCAGCTGGCTTCTGAACCAAAGAAAGAACCTGTTTTCATAGCTTGGTGGCTAAAGCCCATGGTTTGGTCATATAACTGACCAGAGTAATTCTGCATGTTAGAGCAGAACTGCTGTGATTGACCTTGCATTTCCATCTTAATGGTGTTTACCCTGTACGTCTGGTTGCCATCATCTACTTGTCTTTGCTGCTGGGACAGGTTGTTTCTCAACACGTTTTGCCGTCTGTTGCTGCTGTAATTAGAGCATGACTGGTAACTTTTGGCCGCTGACAAGCCTGAAGGCTGGCTACCAATGGTGTGAGACACCAGTGGACAGCTCTGCGGCCCTTGATACAGGCTGCCTTGTGAGGTAGGACTAACCTGCCCTAGCATCATTTGACCAGAGTGATTGACTCCCTGGTAATGAACACCATCTCCAGCTGGCTGGCTTTGCAAATATTCCTGTTCCATCATGTTCCTGTCCTGCATCCCATTTGCCATACTGGTGGTTTGATCACTGGATGCCAGGGGATGGCTGAAATTTTGCTGGTTCCCATTCACTGGCATGTTGCTGATTCTTAGCTTCTGCCCTTGCACTGCCATGCCACAGGAATTGTCTGTCACCCCAGCCATCATCGCTTGCCTGCCCATGCTTTCACTGTAAGGCTTGTTGGAATGCATGCTGAAAGAATTCCCAGCTCCGCTGCCAAGAGTCACGTTTTGCTGTAAACTGTAGGAAGTGTTGTTCTCCACCAGGTTCTGATAGCCATTCTGCTGGGCCATGTTGCTTCTCTCCAGGTTCTGCTGCTGAACCATCATATTGTTATAAAATCTGAAGGCCCGAGCCTGCTGCACTGCTGACCGCTGACCACATTTCAGCTTTGAAGGAGATAAGTCAGAACTTCCTGAGCTTACTTCATTCCACTGAATGGGCAAGTCACTCTTATTTGCCTCGGGACCCGCCTGCTGACTGCTCAGTGGAGGGGCTTGGTCAAAGTTGCTGGGGTTGTTGTTTCCTGAAACTGAGCTGTGATGCATTTTGTTGCTGTCTAGGACATTGTTCAACAAATGGTCGTACGTGCCCTGGTTCTGGGAATTCAGATACTGGACGACGTCATCTGGCAGGAGATCCTCATCATTCAGACTGCTACCTGCTTCCATGGTAGCAGCCTCCAGGGCGACGTTCTCGCTGATGCTTGGAGGACAGGGGGAGCTGAAGCTGCGGAAGACGCCACCCTCAGAACGGGTGTAGTTCTGAAGAACAAGGTTGCGCTTTTCCATGGATGGAGGCAAAGCAGGAGGGTTAAAGCTATTAAGACTGTTGAAACGCTGGACTCTTGGGACAGAGAGATTGTCAGAGGCCATTCTGACTGGATCACTGGCTCTCCTTGTCCCATTTCCTAAAGCTTCGTGAGACAGAAAATGCCTCCTGCTGTAACCATTTGCCCCACCATCACTACATCTTCGAGGGACATTCACTGGAGGCAGTGGAGATACTCCAGACTCCCTGCAGTCACCCAAGAGTGCCATCCTTGTCTTGAGGCTCATCCTCTCCATGTTAGGCAGTGGAGTTGGTGGGGGTCCACCAGTAGCTGCTGCATATTTAGCTTTCAGCCTGTATTGCTGGGCCGGGGTGAGGCTGAGAAGACTTGGCAGGTCATCACACTGGCTCGCTTCACTGGAGCGCCGGGAGGCATCCGTCGAGATGGGGTCGTAGGAGTCTGCAACGCTCACGTTCTGCGGCCTTCCCTCTGCCTGGGAGGCATCGCTGGACCTCCGGCTGGAGAAGCAAGGTGAGATTCCAGAGGACCTGCGGCTGCTCAGGTAAGCTGAACTGATTGTGCTAGTATTGCTGTCCCTCCTGTTCAGCATGTTCAACACAGTGATGTCTGTACTTGAGAGTTCATTCCTGTTTGGCAGAATAGTCATGGATCCTCCGACACTGCAGCTGCTGTTTGACTGGGTACCTGCAGGTAAAATTCACAGTTAAACAAAGAGGTATTATCCAGAAACTGGTGTGGAAAACACACAGTAAAGAACTCAGTGGAGTATAGAGAAAGAACATCATCACACCCAATCATAGCAGTGCTCTTTCTTGAAAGAAGTAGGGATAAAAACTGTGTCCTTAGGTTAAAAGCTAATTCAGAGACTCAAGGGTAACATTTCAGTGTGAATCCCAGCAGAAAATTTATAGCCCATAGCCACAAACTGTCATCAGCTGGTGCAGTGCTCCAGCCTGCAGTGCAGCTCATGTGCCAGGAGGACACATTCGTAAGGGAGCTTTTTATAGGCAAAATATAATTGAACAGGCATTTGCATGGAATGGCAAAATATACAAATTGGAGGCTATTCAAGGTCATTTCTTAGACTTCTTGAAATATTCTTGAAATAACTCCTAACAACTGCAAAACATCTTTGCTGGTTTCCTTGTTTTGGTTTGGTTTTAATAAACAGGATAAATGTCTTAATTTTACATAGTTTGTTTTGACTGAATGGGTCTCAGAAAACCTCCACTGCTGGGTGGAGCCCAGAAACCTACAGGCATGCTGTAGGCAAAATAGGGGCAGCAGCAACATCCAATTTGGTCGTGAGCAGTTCTTTGGAGGAAAACAACTGGGGATCTTCAGAGTTCAACCTTGCCTTGCTCCCATTCATGGATATTTGCTCTTTGCAGCAGCAGCATCTGTACATATGATTCCTTCTATGTGTGGGAACAGGTTATTTAAAGGGAAGCCCACCACATTGCTGCAAAGGCTGCCTTGCAAGGGCCTCAATAGAAAGACTTCCATACAATAAATTCACAGGTATTTACTTCTTCTGCCTTGCCTCGAAACAGGACAGAATTTTGATGATCTTGGGTCAAAACCTTTAACTGTAGGGGATATTTAAAATGTGATTCATGGCTCCCCTGCTAACCCTTGTTCTGTAAAACAACGGGACTAACAGACTTCTCAGAGGGTGGGTAGAAGGACTTGCAATGAGGGCACAAACAGAAAGTGAACAATTTACAAACCATTTCACAGCTGCTGAGTTCCCTAAACTGTGCAACTCCTGCAAGAGTTGCACGATTGAGCTAGGAAGCAGCAAGATAAGGGACAAAAAGCGTTATCACTCTTATTACGTCTATCTCACCATTTCCTATGAGAGGCGGCAAGGTCGGGGCTTTGGAAGGTGGAACGGGGTTCAGTCTTGGAAGCATTCCATTAACTTGTTTCAACCTTTCTAATTTCACTTGCTCCATCCATTTGGTCCCTGTCATATTCCTCCTGGCCTGTAAGCCAAGTGCTGTGGTGGCTGTGGAAATGGTAGAGTCCATGATTGGGGTTTCATCGATGACACTGAGGTCTCCTACACTACCACCACCGGTCAGAGTAAGCTCGAACCCATTGTTGGAATAGTTGCTGATGGGGGACTGTTCGCTGCTGCATGTAGACTGACCACCAGGGCTTGGCTGAGATGTCTGTTGGAGGGAAGTAAGAGACAAAAGAGTGTGAGGATTAAGCAAACAATGTTAACCAGAGTATTTGTGCTAAATGAAGGTCTAAATGGAGCCGAAGATATAGGTACAGAAACGTTCAGCATTAAATGATAACAGTGATCATTCATAAAGAGGCTTTCTAGATATTGGCTTCAACTGCAGTGAATGGCACTGTAAAGCACAAGACTAAAGTCCCCTTTCACATGTTGCTGATGGTATTCAATATATCTCCATAAGACACTTATCCGAATTATTCCCCGAGTTACTTCTATCACTTCAAGCCATTTGTGAGCATCTATGGATGGATACCATACTTTGCTTAATGTGCTGTTCCCAACTGAAGCTGCAGCTCAGAAAAACCAAACCAGAATTCAGCCATGTTACAAGGTATTAGTTTACACTGCTAGGCTTGCAAACAAACAAACAAGACTCCAACAACATTGGAATTCGGGTTTTTTTAATTAGACTTGTGGCTAAAGAATGTAAGCATTTTCCAGGCTTAAGGCTCATTGTTACAAGCAGTGGTTGGCCTGAAATGTTGGCATGTAATAAAACAGGGACAAAGCATCAGTGCAAAAAATACTGTATCATATTATCAGCATCTCATGACCCTGGCAGCACTCAGGTCTAACTTACACCTCCTCTTATACCTCTTATACCACCTAACTTACACCACCTCTGACCTGAATCAAGAAGGTGATGATCTACTGAATCAAATCCTTTGTTTCATTAGAATTTAAGATTTGAAGTGCAAGAATTTAAGTAGACAATACAGGCTGGTAATCTGAAGGGATATAAATATGCCACAATAGCATCTTCTTTCTTAACAGGGAGTGTTCCCTGCTGCTCTAGCAGAACTCTTGCTGTGGGGAAACACAGGCTTGATTTACTTTTCAGACATTTTATGAAGTTCTCGCAAAAGAATGGGAAAATTGACAAACTGACAGACAAAACAAAGACAGACAGAAGTCTCTGGATTTAATATCTCACTGTAAGGTTCTATCAGTGTGATCACAAATCAGTGGGGCATGCAGTATCATTTTGCTCACAAGAACAGTTTCATGTAAGTATTTAACTTTTAGGGTTTCTGATGTGGTTTTGTTTTTTGGTTTTGTTTTTTTTCTGCCACTCTGTGATCTTTATGTACATTTTACTGAAAAATGCTGTCTTGAATTTCTGAAGTGGCAGGGACAACTCTCACTTTAAACATCAATGAATGAAGACTCAGATTCATTGCACTACTGTAGTTTCATGCCCTTAAGGAGTCCATTTGAGATTCAATAACTATTTTATTATTTCCAACTTGAATGATGATACTTAGAATTTATGAGGCCACACTGAGCAAGTTCATTTCCAAATCCTGGCCACAGCAGATTTGGTGACAAGAATAGAAATAACAGTTGTTATACAGAAGAAAGTTTGGGCTTCTGGACAATAGCTCCATGCCATATGGAAGAAGAGTAATAGTGATCAGAAACCTGTTCTTGTAGCACATGTCAAGATCACAGTGAGGTAGGGTACAGAAATAAGAACTGTATTATGCAGGACATATATTTCTAGATGTGCAATACAGAAGAAAAATGGATGTGTCATCTAGAGGGGAAAGTACAAAGACATTTCTGAAGATGTTTCACCAATATAAGCCAGATTTTTCACATGTCAAGTGTTGCAAAATGCTCACAACATTACAACTGGGAATGTGCTTGATGGATTGCACATTACTAAATAAAGGAATTATTGAACAACAGGCAGAAGACTAAAATAAAAACATAAATAATGTTGCAATAAGAAAAACAGCAGAGAAGTTAAAATGCCCTCACCTTATTACCCACTGTCCTTAGGAAGTTAGAATAAGACATTTAAGAGCATTAGACAGAAAAGACATTGGATTAGTTGAAAACCAGAAAATATACCTTAATTCATACATGCAATGAAAAACAAGAAACAGAATTATTTTTAAAATATACTTTTCCATGAAAAATATTTAATACTATGTAAGCTATAGGCATTAGTACCCCTCTTACACAAATTTTCCTGTTAGAACTGTGTTCAACATGCCTCAATAATGCTACATGTTTACCTAGCAAAGCAAGAGACTTTGCTCCTTTGTAAACTAAGGTAGTTATCAGCAAAGATGGCAGAGGACTTCCTTTAAACTTCAGCAGGAGTTTACTGTCAGCCCTTCAAAGTTCTTTAATTCAGTATTAATACTGAACAGTTTGAGCATAAGCCTTAGGCACAACATAGCAGTAACTCATATTTCAGTGAGTAATCACTTTGAATTGCACCATGATTAACAGTATGAGCAGAATTTGGAGGGCTCATATTTGTATTCCCCAGGGGCTGGATACAGATGAATCATAGACCCAGATGGGGAAGAGGATGGAGTGGCTGCCTTTGAATTAACCCTTGTGAAGAGGGCAGATGGCACATGAAATTCAGGCAAATAAAAGAACCTGTATATTTAAGACAGCATCTCAAAAAATGGAATACAGTCCTTTCAATAGCTTAATGCAATACGTTAAGGTAAACCAGAGAAAAGACTTGCAGACTGTCGATTTAGTTAAACTTGGAGCAGGTTAACTTGAGTTAAGCATCAATAAGCATAAGAGGTCACATCACAACAGAGATGTTATTAAAAAGATGCCCATCTGCTGTTTAAGAAACTCAATTCATCCTGCTTCAGTTTGATCCATAACCCAAAAGCCTCAAGCCCTTAAAATCTGATTGTTTCCCTAGGTTCTCCAAAAATGATCATCATCAATACCATCATTTTAGTAATTTGGATTTCTTGTGGTTTGGTTTGGTTTTTTTCTTTTTCTGGCTTTCAGCCTGAAAAATTCAGATTCGCCATCTTTCTTCTGGAAACAGAAGAGTGGAAAAAACGTGTTATTTTTTTCAATTCTGATTTTCTTATACTATGCTTATTCCAGAAGATGGAGCTTTTTTAAGAGAAACAATTATTGTGGCAGCTGCCAGCACCATGCTTACTCCATATTACACATACTAGATGTCATCTTTTTATTTGCTATTAGGCTTTAAAAACATTTTACCATGTAAACACAGAAAAAGACCTCACAAAACCAAACCTTGTGAGCTAGAGGTTACAGACTTGAGATTTTCATACAGGGATTATTAAGGAAGGAAGAAAAGGACAAAGGGAGTGGCACGGTGTATTGCATACCATTGGTTTTTCTGACTTGACCGCTTTCACTTGGAGGCATTCTTCACGCTTTGAGGTAGTGTTGCTGAGGTCCTTCTGCTCACCAATTGCACCCTGAGTCTGATGGCCTGGTGACCGGGTCTGAGAGTGGCTGCCTGGGTCTCTTGGTGGCGGAGGCCGTGGGTGGATGTCTCCCCGCTGCTTCTTGGTGACATGTGCCTCCGGGCCATGCACGGTCTTCACGTGCTTCCGGAGAGAGCTGGGGTCTGTGTAGCGCTTCGTGCAGCCCGGTATCTTGCAAACATATGGTTTCTGACAAGACACAAAAACCACCTATATTAGATTCAATTCCATGTGGGACTCCTGAAGAACTCCTTGGAGCACAGCTGGTGTTGCAGTTAAATGCTTTCACAGTGAATTTTTTACCTAATTTATGGTCTCTTTAACAACTGAATCATAGAATGGTTTGGGTTGGAAGGGACCTTAAAGATTATCTAATTATCCACTCCCCTCCCAACATGGGCAAGGACCCCTTGGTAAAAGCCACATTCAAACCTGGACTTGAACAATGGAGCACTTGAACACTGCTTGAATGAAGCATCCACATCTTCTCTGGGAAACCTCTACCAGTGCCTCACTACCCTCACAGTAAATAATTTCTTCCTTTTAACTAATCTAAATCTACCCTCTTCCAGTTTAAAGCTATCACCCCTTGTCCTATTGAACAGTGACTGTACCCAGTCAAAACCATTAGCTCCCCTTGGTTCAGAAAGTAGCAATTAGTGCTGCACAGTTGATTGAGGGAAGAGTCTCTCACGGCTACCAACTAGCACGGCTTTCACTTAGCTTAGCAGAAGAGTCAACCGAGCTATGGCCACTTATGAAGACTGGTCTAGTTTTCAACCCTGTCCCTTGCCCTCAGCAGTTTGACAGTGTTCCCCATAGGCCTAATACCTACTACTTGACACTGAGAGTAACAACCCACTTCAAAAGGTGCTGGGCCATTTGTTCAGGCAGAATTAACCAAGGAAGCATTTTTTTTCCTGGCTCCTTCAGATCACCAGTCAAAGCATAAGATACAGTGCCATGAACATTTTCATGTTGCAGAAATAGATGCACTATTATTACTGCTACCAGCATAACTCATCACTCATTTTTTTAGAAACCACTTCCTTTATCTGTGAATTTCTATAGCTCACTAAGCAATGTAGAATAAAGTAAATTTACTGTCTTACAAATTAACAAAGCCTTTGTTCTTGTATTATGAGGGTATTAAAAAGAAGAGCTGAGCACTTCCTAAATCCTTTAATTGCCCTGGGAAGCAAAGTATTGTTCACACACTTTTATTACTGAATTGTTTCCAAGAAAGTACTGTTTTAAAGGTTTGGTTTTTTTTTTATACTAGCCTTCAAAAAATAGAAAGAGACCCTCATGCAGAGTTTCTCAGAGGGGTTTTGTGTCTGCTTACACATGGCACTGTGGAGCCTTGGACAAATACAGCTTTGCCATAGCTGTCTAAGGCCTGAGATTGCTTCCACTGACATCAGTGGAAAAAACCCTCCCACTTACTTGAATAGGAGTAAAAATGAGCAGTTTAGAGACAATGTTGATCTACCGAGGCAGGTTTTCTCAAGTTGCTACGGAAGTACAAGTCCCTTAGTTCTCCTCTACATGAGTAAGGTATATCGTAATCAAGAGATGTCAGCTGCTTTTAAAGCTCTCTGTAGGTTACCTCCTGAAAACCAAAATGGCACTGCAAACTGCTGAATTTGGTCTGTTTTTCATGGTATTCACATCATTCCACCAGTATAGGTTGCCCTAGAAGATTAGCCTGTTTTGGTGTGACGTAATGGTGAAGGAAACATTTCATTTGCCCCTGTGGCTGCACCTATCAGAAATCATATGCAGCATAAAATTTCTCTGGTTGACTTACTGTTAGACACAAATTCTGATCTTAACACAGGGCAGGTCACATTGCTAAGTAAGAGAAGATCTAAATCATCAACTAGGCAGCACACAGATTAGTTCAGTGTATGAGAAAAGAAAGCTCAGGCAGCTATTGGCAAGACTCGGTGAACTTCCTTCTACCTTGGTGACCATTCACTAAATCACTGCAGGGCTTCAGTGCCATTATTGCTTGGGCTGCTGAAAACACAGGGGGGATGAGGAAACTCAGAGATGTGCAATGCCCTCTGCTTCCCTTGTGACTAAAGAGATGCTGCAGGGTAGGGACTGGAAGAAGATGAATGCTCCCTGGAGCATCCCTGCTGGCCATTGTGTATGCCTGCGACTACCCAATACCAGTTAAAGAAAGATCCAAGCTGTGTAGAAATGGATATAGCTGCTATGGTACATCCCACCCTCCCAGTACTTCCAGGTTTAGGCTAGAGGTGAAGGAGTTCAGGGACGTGTCAAGGAGAGGAGATTTGATTCTGAGTTGTGAGACTGAGATGATGTGACTCTCTGTGCAACTTGAAATAGGGTAATAAAACATGGACAATGCATGAAGATGGTGTGCTTCCTGAAAAAGCAGGAAGCAGTAACAGGAAACACAGTAACAAGAAGTTATGCTGAGTGTTTGGAAAACAGCTGTGACTGCCACAGCTGGTTTCCTTGAGAAAAGTTGTAGTTCCTCTGCTGCATCCCTAGTCCCAGAATAACAGAATCACAGAATTACTAGTTTGGAAGAGACCTTCAAGATCAACCCATGCCCTAATACCTCAATTACCCAATACCTAATACCCCAACTAAACCATGGCACCAAGTGCCATATCCCATCTGCTTTTTAAACACATCCAGGGATGGTGACTCCACCACCTCCCCAGACAGACCATTCCAGTATTTTATCACTCTTTCCATAACAAACTTTTCCTTAATATGCAATCTATATTTCCCTTGACACAGCTTAAGACTGTGCCCTCTCGTTCCATCACTTGCTGCCTGGAAAAAGAGACCGACCCCAACCTGACTACAGCCACCTTTCAGGCAGCTGTAGAGAGGGATAAGGTCACCTCTGAGTCTCTGTTTCTCCAGGCTAAACAACCCCAGCTCCCTCAGTTGTTCCTCACAGGGCTTGTGTTCCAAGGCCCTCACCAGCCTCATTGCCTCCTCTGGACGCGCTCAAGCATCTCAAGGTCCTTCCTGAACTGAGGGCCCAGAACTGGACACAGCACTCCAGGTGTGGCCTCACCAGTGCCGAGTGCAGGGGAAGAATGATCTCCCTGTTCCTGCTGGCCACATCATTCCTGATCCAGGCCAGGGGCCATTGGCCTTCTTGGCCACCAGGGCACAGGGCTGGCTCATGTCCAGCTGCTGTCACCAGCACCCCCAGGTCCCTTTCTGCCTGGGCACTGTCCCCAGCCTATGACATTGCAGGGGATTATTGTAGCCAAAATGCAGGACTCGGTACTTGGACTTATTAAACTTCATCCCATTGGACTCTGCCCATCCATCCAACTGTTCCAGGTCTCTCTGCAGAGCCCTCACACCTTCCAACAGATCAACCTACACTCCCAGCTTAGTGTCATCCACAAATTTACTAATGAAAGACTCAATACCTTCATCCATGTCATCAATAAAAATATTGAACAGGACTGGACCCAGCACAGAGCTCTGAGGAACACCACTGGTGATGGGCCCCCAGCTGGATGCAGCACCATTCACCACCACTCTCTGGGCCCAACCACCCAACCAGTTCCTAACACAGCCCAGAGTGCTCCTGTCCAAACCATGGGCTGCTGGCTTTTCCAGGAGTGTGCTGTGGGAGACAGTGTCAAAGGCCTTGCTGAAGTCCAAATAGACAACACCCACAGCCTTTCCTGCATCCACCAGGCAGGTCATAAAAGGACACAAAAAGGAGATCAGGACCTACCCCTCCTAAACCCATGCTGACTGGGTCTGATACCCTGGCCATCCTGTGTAGTCCATGAGGTCAGCTCAAGATGGAAAGAAAGAGTGAAAGAGGCCAGAGAAGAGAAGGCATTAACTCAGAACTTAAAAGGCAGCCCATGATTTCAAATGCAGAAACTGGCTGTCTGCAGCACCCTGAAGTATGCTGGCTGTCCGAAGCTGCATCCCAGCAGATACCTGGTGCCAACACAGGCATGGGGATGGGTTCAGGCACTCAACGAGCCCTTCCAGCATCAGAGGAAAAAATAATCCTAATTTTACAGGGAGAACAGGATCTGTCCCAAATTAATCCATGTGTTTCCGTTAGACTCCCTCACTCAAAACTCTCTTAAACGTAATAAAATGCCAGGTCTGTATGACATACTGTGCTGTAAGAGTCATCCAGATCTTACATTCCTTTCAGGTTGCCGAGGGTTGCTGTGCCTGTTGTCTGTAATAGATTGCTATGACCACACTGAAAGTCTGTTCAACAATGAATTATATTAATCTTCTGAAGCTGTGCTTACTTACCTCATTGGAATGAGTCCTGTTTTGGTGCTTGGCCCTGTCAGATGCATTGGAGAAAGCTTTGTTGCAGCCTTCATGTTCGCACACATACGGTTTCTCTCCAGTGTGAGATCTCAAGTGCGTTTTCAAGTTTTCTAGTCTGGAGTAGGCCTTTGTACAACCTTCAAACTGCAGATGAGAAATAAGTCTGGTTTAGTTTTAATCTTTGGACTTGCAGGAAACAGTAGAAGTGGACTTATAGAAGTTTAGAAGTTTTCCAAGCCCTCATAACCTTGTCTAATGTAGGTTTGATTGGGAGGGTTTTAATTTAACCCAAGCAAACTCCACCACAGCTCAAGTTAAAATGCTTTCAGCAGTATGTAAATCTTTTCTTACAGGAGAGCATAGTGTTTGCCTACTTTGACTAAGACTGAAATCCATTGCAAAGCCACCAGGAGGCTGGTGGCCAGCAGTAATATCAAGCTCTGTAAGAGAAAGTGCCTTTAAATAATTAAGCAAACTGAGCCCTGTTTAATAATGCCTTTTAGGGCTTCTTTACTTTAAACTTCATGAAGTGGGCCAAATCATCCTCTCCTGAAGCTTTTGTCATCTGTGCTGGATAACAAAACAGACATGGCAGTCTCCTCTCCACAAGAGTCTGACAGACAAGAGCTCAGAGAATGCAGCACTCGTCCTGCTCTTTTTGTTCTCCTCACAGCCCCAGCTTCCCTGTACAAGCCTGGAGCTCAGGCCCCTTTACTTACAGTGCATTTGTGTGGCTTTTCCCCTGTATGTCTCCTCATGTGGACCACCAGCATATATTGGGCTTTGAAAGGTTTCTGCTCCCGGGAACAGTCCAGCCATCGGCACACAAACTCTTTCTTCTCACCGTGTATGTGGTCATTGTTGATATGCTGTTCAGGTGGAACAGAGGTTACAGCTTAACAGAAATACAATTATTGCAATTTCACACTGGAAAAGCACTAGAGATTCAGTTGTGAACCACGTCCTTGTGGTACTGAAAGAATAAGATAATCTGCACTTCCAAGTGACCACAGGGTTCAAATTACAGATCCTACTGGAAGTCACTAAGGCTCATGGATTTTTTTCTACTGAGATCAACAGACTTTGGATCAGGCCCCAGGGATACAAGCTGATAAATGGATCCTGGATAATCTCATGCACTGGGTGATTCACACTGGGTACTGCTTTGCAGAGCAGAGAAGTGCTCACTTAAGTGCTGCTCAACATAAACAAGGTTTACAAAATCGGGCCTTTAGAAACATATCCTCCAACCCGAAAAATCAATACAACTGCTAAATCAAGTTTCCACCCCAAATTTCAACTCACTCCCTGTTACCCATATTTTCTTTCAGTAAACATATTTGGTTCCATAAATGTACAGGTCATGGCAGTGGAAATAAACCCCTACACACTGTGAATATAAACTCTGAGTACTGAAGCATACATCAAGCCAGGTTTTGCCATTGCCCAGTCTGGCTCTGTCTGAATGTGTGTGGGAGTGACAGCTGCCCCAGCCCTGCTGCCTCACAGGCATGTCTTTCTGTGGTCAGTGTCATCCATTTGAGTGTATCCAGAAGCAGGACAGGGCTGGGTACCTTCTACTTTTCCACAAAATTAGCTTGCTCTGTTTCTTTCAGTAAGATCTAGCTCATTAAATTAAATAATTTTAAACTGGATTTCATTCTCTCTGTGTTTGAGTGGAAACAGGCAGGTGAAGTAGGGTCAGCCTCAAAATTGATTTTTTTTTTTTTTTAAGGCTTAACTGTTTGAATATTTTTGCACGACTTTAGAAAACAAAAGAAAAGAAAACTACACCTGGACTTTCAGTCTTTTTTCCGATAGGGGCTACCCGACTCATCCTCCCAGACACTCTCTTGTAGAAATCATTCCACACTGCCGTACTTCTATCATTGTGCCACTAGATGGCTGCATTACTCAGCGAATGACATTATTCCCACTAAGGTACCACCAAAAAAAAATCTCCAGTTTTTATGTGATCACAGCACAGGGATGAAATCTGCATCTGTTCCGTAATGGGCCCACAGAAAATGCTAGCCATACAGAAACTCAGTAGTTCAAACTGGAACACAAGGAAGATAATCCCAATCTTTTTGTCTTGAAATCAGTCAGAAAGCCACATAAAATCACGTATGTTCAAAATTATGCACCATTGCCATTGTAAAACAGACATCCATTGCCTGTAAAAGATGACAGCTCTTTTCCTGAAACTTTATTGCCATTTCTTTAAAGCTGTTATGGGGCACAGGATGCATGACCAGAGCAGATGTGCTTGGCAACATACGACTGCAAAAAATCTGCAAGAGTTAATGTTCCTAGTGCAGCTCCATAGCCATTGATAAAACACACACCTGTGCCAGAAGCAAGCACATGCCTTGCTCTGTGAAATGGTATCAAAAGAGTTCAGTGGGTGCCATGTGTGCTCTCTCTTGAAAGAGAAAGAAGTAACAGGACAAAATTTAATGCATTCAAGTAATTCATGGCCAAATCTCTCTGTAAACATTACAGAGTGCATTATGTGGTTAAACCTCCACAGCCACGAGGGGGATGAAACTTGAGTGTGTGACACAGGCTTTCCATTTGATACAAAAACCTCAAGGCTGGATCAATCACTTTACCACAGCACCTCCTTTTACCTCCTGCTGCGTGGACACTCAGGCACCATGGAGGCTCTTTCACAGAAAATCTCCATAGGACAGTTTTTTCTCTTTGTCCCTTCAAATCAGCTTGCTCCCTGTGCTCCAGACCTCCAGCCTTTAACAGCATGACAATCCTCTAAAACTGACCTTTCTCATGGGCCTGAAAGTCCTTTCCTCACTCCCTCCCCAGCCCAGGCTCACTGCAGCAGCTGACAGAACTTGCCAAGAGTGGTGATCATTTGCCTCTCTCCATCACCATCTTACCTGCCAAGTATCTTGTAATCATCCTCTGGTCTCTCACAACTGTGGCCCTCCATACATTTTCCCTGCTCTCTTATTTATCAATCCTTTCCTAGACTCTCTGATCTTCCTACAATCAAACCCCTCTTTGTGCTGTTTTCCCTCATTGCTCTGATGCTCCAAGTGGCCCTTGAGAGCTCACCCACAAATCCATCTCATTCTCATCCAATCCCTCTGAGGATCCTCACCTTTAGGGGAAGCCTGGAATAAATGAGCCTGTGATCTGCTAATTCGGGTAATTTATTTTGGTTCACAGGTGAGCTGCTTAATTGCTTTTTGCAGAGGGGTGATATTTTAGCAGACCTACAAATATGTCCAAATACTGAAATGCTGGTCTGGAGGAAGACACTTGCTAGACACAAAATCAGCACCAGCAGTGTACTCAGGTACAGAGATTCACAGTACTTGTAATCCTGAGATTCAAACACCCCCACTTGCTCAAGATATGGTGAGAAAACTTGTCTGTCATCTGCTATGGACCTACAGGCGGAACTACACAAATGAAAACCATGAACTAAATCTACACTGGAATTTTTTACCATTATCATTTGACAGAAAGAATGTGCAATTTTTGCAACGTGTTTAAAAAGGAGGGAGGTCTCACTGTGCAAACAACACCATTTAGAAAAGTTCAGAAGTTTGTGAACTCTGGCATTCAGGTTCTTTGACTCAGATAATTACCTTTGGATTTTACACAGTGTTTTTGGCTCCCTGGTCTCTATTATGAGAGGAAATGAACAGTTTTGAGCTTGTAAAACAAAGAACAGTCAGGAATAAGAGTATTATGCAAAGTAGAAGCTTTGGTACAGTACAATAAGGATTTATAGGGTTTCAATTTATAATCTGTTTGTAACCTTATTACACCCATGAAATGTCACATTCCAGGGACTAGATCAGAAGGATTTTTTTTTCCTGGTGAAATTGAATTTTGATGCAGTTTCAGGGTGTGAAAAGGCTTTTCTTTTAATTTTGTGGGCCCAAACCTGCAAGTTTTACTTATGTCTGTAATCCTTATTACAGTAAATAGGCTCATGAAAGCCAATGATATTACTCCCTAGTGTCAGGTTTGCTAGCATAAGGCTCTGAAGCACCAGCTCTGTATTATTAAGAATTTCTGACCTGAAAAAAAAGCCCCCATTAAAAGCTGGAATTCTACAAGCTATCTCCCACTGCACACAGCTCCAAAAAGCTGCTAAACAGGGGTCATTTGCAGAATACCAGTCACTTTCATGCTACTTCAACGTTCATTACCAAACCTCTGTTTGTCCTGGCTCATTTCCTTTTTTCTTTAAAAAATGTTATTATTATCATCCAGTTCCAAAACACCCTAAAACGAACAGAGGGAGCTGACCTAAATACTGATTTTGGTCTCAGAATGACCTGCCTTTGAAGGAGGAAGCTCCAAGATGGATTTCAATTCCAGAGCATAAAAACACACCAGATTAATTGAAATGAAGCCTGAAGTTTGCCTGTCTTCTCTACTGGGCAATCTCAAAAAACAAAGGTAAAGGGAAATTCAATCCACAGTATGCTGGAAGCATAAATGCTGAAATGGTAAGAAACACTCTTGAAAAGGGAATGCCTTAAATCATACATGGTCTCCTGCAATCCATACCAACCATACCTGTTACTTGATACTGTAGCAGATGAGATGAGATGACACTGGAGGTAGGATCTGCAATAATCTTAGTGTTCCATTTCCCTCCTCCAAGAGAGGTTTTAGGAGAAAGGATAATATGCACACGTCCTAGCTGACTGCATGGTACCCGTTAGCTATTCAATACATAAACAAAGGCCAAACGTGCTCTCACAGTAGTCAAACAGCAGGAGGAAAAGCCTCTCCATACCAGTGGAAAAACTTAGGAACAACAGGAAAAGAATGTCACTGTAACTGAGATTGCATCTGAAAGCAAAGTGCTATTTGGTGGCAAGAGCAGAATACTCAGATCATCTCCCATTTCTGTTTCCTACCCTAGAGTGTAAGAGAAAACTGGGCAGAGACCATGCTGTATTGGTATAATGTAGTAAGTAAGTGGCAGTGAAAGGCGTATCACCATTGCCAAAATTAGGTTTAATTTCAGTTATACAGCAACAATTACAGACTTTTATGTTCTCGCAGTTATTTCCCTGTATTTAAAAAAAATTATAAAGGAAGTGCTAAATAACTTCTCACTAGATCTTACCACAGACATTAAGCAGAGGCAGCATTTAAACCATCTTCAGGCACAAACCTCCCTCTGTACTGTACTGCTACAAGAAGTCCCTCAAACCAGTGGAGCTGCTGCATTTGATGCTTAGGGAACAAAGTGAGAAAGGTGAAGAGACATCGAGTGGAATGGCTGCTAAACACAGCTCGTCCCGCACAAGAGCTGTGGAGCCCACAGGGAGGACATATACAGAGGCTGTGTCTGGCAGACACAGTACCAGACTAGCTCTGAAGCTGGTTTGGAAGGGGATTAGCTGTCCCTGACCTGCAAGTCCTGCAGGGAATGCTTTTATTTCTGTGTTTTGCATAGGGAATGTAGATTTGTCCTTAAGCCCACATACAGCTAGAAACAGGTTCCTGGTCATCAGGCCCATCCCCTCGCTATGGCAAGTCCCACTGCACATAATCCTGGTCATGAACAGAGCATCAGCTTCTAAGTGCCTTGGAGATCAGCTCCCTCTGCTCCCAGCGGATGGCTCTTCTAGAAACTCACTCTTCTGCTGGTTAGCAACTAATTTCTAGCTTCGATTTATTCACAGCCAATTTAAATTCATTTGTTCTCATGCCAACACTATCCTTTAGCTTAAACAGCTCTGCTTCCCTGCAGTGTTTAGTTCTCTCCCTTCCCCACCTTAACTAACTGGCAGACAGCACTCTCCTCTCTGTCTTCATTTGCTGGATTAAATAAACCAGCTCCTTCTGGTCTCCCCTTCAATGATCAAGTCCT